TACTACTACTACTACTACTATACTACTACTACCTTTTACTACTACTACAACCACAACTACTACTACTACTACTACTACTACTACTACTACTACTACTACTACTAGTACTACTACTACTACTACTACTACTGCTACTACTACTACTACTACTACTACTACTACTACTACCACTACACTACTACTACCACTACTACTACTACTACTACTACTACTACTACTACTACTACTACTACTACTACTACTACTACTACACCTCCGCTTCCTCCTTCTCCTCCTCCTCCTTCTCCTCCTCGTCCTCCACATCCTTCCCCCCTCCAACTTCTGGTGGTGGTGGTGGAAAACAGGCTCATCACAAGCAGCATCTACCAGAACTCCGCGCGGACACCTCGGGTCGGAGCTGGAGCCTCTGGCGCACCAAGGCGCTCTCGGAGGGCGCCCAGGCGCGGAGGTGCGAGCGCTGCAGCTCGTGCACGCTACGCTGGGCGCTGCCGCGCGGCGCTCAAGAGGCTCATGCTCGTGGCGTTTTCCGTTCGCTAGAGACGGAGCCCCCCACATATCGCTGTCCGTTCTGCTTACAGTGGGGGCTCGGCCACAAGAAACCTCCGCAAGAAACCCAACCCTGAAATCCGCGCTTTGTTCAGTGAAAATCCAAATCCGTCAATCGAAAATCGTCAAGATCATATATTGGGGGCCCATCGAAATCCAAGAAACCCAGGGCACCCTGGCAGAATCCAACTAGTTTCTTGGCACGCGCCCACACTGTATGGCGCTTCGTCGGAGATGGGTTCTGGTTGCCACCAGGCAGGACAGCCGAGGAGTCCCACGCGGGGGCACGGGGTGCTCCAGGTGCCCCGGGTCTGGCAGCAGTCCGGCAGCCGTGTCGCCCGCAAGACTTCCTTACCGTGCACTCCGACATCGTGCTCTCGCCTCGATGCCCGCCGCACTGTCGGAGCTACCCCCGGGCGCAAGCGGCCGTGCCCTCGCCCCTGTCCCACGCAGCCGGCCTCCTCCTCCTCGGCCCGCCTCTTCGCCGCGGCTCCCCCTCCTCCTCCTCCTCTCTCCTCCTCCTCCTCTCCTCCTCCTGCTCCTCCTCCTCCTCCTCCTCCTCCTCCCTCCTCCCCTCCTCCTCCCCTCCTCCTCCTCCTCCTCTCCTCCTCCCTCCTCCTCTCCTCTCCTCCTCCTCCTCCCTCCTCCTCCTCCTCCTCCACCTCCTCCTCCTCCTCCTCCTCCTCCTCCTCCTCCTCCTCCTCCTCCTCCTCCTCCTCCCGTCCTCCCCGCCCAGGCATCCGACGCCTCGATGCGCTCCAGGCGCGGGCCCCCGACCCCGCGACGCCTTGCCCAAGGCCGGTGCTCCGCCCCGCAGCGCACACCTGCTGGGGATGGCCCCGGGGCCCGACGAGGGCCGCGGGGGCCTTCCGTCACGCCTCGCTCGAGACGCCGGACCTCTGGGGTGCTCTGCTGGGGTGCTGCTCCTCCTCGACGGCCTGGGGGGGGCCGAGAGCAGCGCGGGGGCGCACGGCACGCTGACGCAGAACTGCCACAGCCCCTCCTCCCCCTTCGGGGAGGGGACTGCCCCTCCCCTTACCCCCCCCGGCCCCGAGTCTGGGACCCCCCCTCTGCGAGGTGTCAGACAGTCCTTCTTGGCCCTTGGTGGCTCCAAGATGGCTCCATGGAGCCCGAAATGGTCTCCAAGATCGCTCAAGATGTCCCGATGTCCTGGGGGACCCTGAGCAGTACGTAGACCCCGGGCATGTTGACGTCGAACTTCTTCCCGGTGACGCTTTCCAGGTGCGGGTCGCCGGAGGCGTAAGCCGACCATGCATCGGTCGTGGCCACGACGGTCTCGGGGGGGACGGAGATGGTGCTTCCATGGTCGGTGAAGTTGGAGGAGCAAAAAACGGCACAGACAAGAACTTCCCAGACGCCCGGCGTCTCGTTCAAATATCGAGACGGAGGTGTTTCATCGTTTTCGGCCTCACATGACCCTTACAGGGCCTCGGGACCGTCAGATTATGACCCGGGATGAAAAAGGGTCCTGGAGAAGTGGTCGAGAGGACGGGGGCTCGTCTCAAATCTGGGTTCCCGAGGTCCACGTACAGTTTTTGGGATCAGCGCTGAGGCCCCATCCAGGGCGCGCGGAGCGCGCCAGGGGCGGCGCTGGAGGCGCCGCCAAGGTGCTCAGCGCCGCGGATGCACGGACTGCTCGCGGACCTCCGAAGGTATATGTTTATGCCGGTGTTCCTCCTTCAAAATGTCCGAGTCGCTGGTCACGGACTCTACTATAGCGGCCGTGATGGAGCTTGCGCTCGAGTCGAGAAGCACAGTCGTAGCATTGGCCACGTCCAAGGAGCTGCCATTGACGATGACGTCCACCGAGACCGAGCCCGCCGACAGCGTCACCTGGCAATCGGAGGACGGACGCGACAGGCTGCCGCAGACGCTGTCGGCGACCCTCGTCTTCAGGGAATCGACCGCCCTGCTGGCGGTCAGCAGCGATGCGTAGTCGAGCCCAGCCATCACAAACGACCTTAGCAGCCCCCCATACGCACCACGCACCACGTAGCGTGTCGACACGGAGCTCCACATGTAGACAGGAAATGTGGGTCTGATGCGGTATTTTCGCCAACACGTGGACCAAAACGTGCCGAGCCAACACGCAACGTGGTAAACCAGACGTTTTGAACACAGTATGTTCTGTGGCAACTCGTGGGAGCCTTCCATACCATCTTACTGGCTCTTGCGGATCGACGCTAATCGACGCTAAATCGACGCTATCAGGCGCTAACTCGGCGCTGGTTCATCGATTGCCAGAAGCTGATCGGCTCGTGTGCGCCCTAAAGGCGGAACTACGCAGGTATACAAGGCTCCCATGATTTGCTGCCGCCGCTGGTTTTTCTCGCGTGGGCCTCCTGGACGGTCCCCTCGCCAAAGAGGGCCTCTCACCGACATGTCGAGAGGCCGAACGCGCGTTGTTCGGGACATGCATGTCCAACATGGTTCGAGATGGCCCCGGGGACAGTCCTGGAGCCCTCGTGGGCGCCTCTTGGGCCGTTTTGGAGGTCCTGGAGGGCGGCCGAAGAGGCCATAATCGTCAACATCCGATGGTTTTTGTCGCATGGTTTTCGCATTGCCGCCTTTTCGTCCTTCAGGGCGTCCAAGACGGTCTAAGAGACTCCCAAGATCGCCCCGAAACGGCCCAAGAGCCCCCAAGAGGGGCCCAAGAGGCCCCCAAGACGGCCCCAAGAGAAGCCCCAAATGGTAAACAGAAACTGGCATTTTGAGCCGTCCGCACCAAGATGGCCCCAAGATCCCCCCACAAGCCCCCGAGTTGCGACCAAGAGGCCCCAAGAGGCCCCCAAGAGGCCCCGAGAGGCCCAAATCAGGCCCCCAAGAAGCCCCCACGACGACCCAAGACACTCCAAAAATCGCATCCACCAGGCATCCGAGAGGCCTCCCAAGATCCTTACAGGCATCCAGGAGGCCTCTGACCTTCAACCCAAGCACGGTGGCGAAATGGGACGAAAGCCAGTAGAAACAAAACTCCCGCGATTTGCTACCGAACAGCGCGTGCTGCGTTCAAAAAGGGCGTATCAGGGCAGCTAAGCAAACGACAGCTTGCTGACGTACGTCTCGGGTGTTGGGGTCGGGGTCGGGCTGGGCGTGGGCAAGGGCGTGGGCAAGGGGGTGGGCAAGGCCGTAGGCAAGGGCGACGGCGCTGGTGTCGGCGTCGACGTGGGCGCCAAAGCCACCAGGTTGACAGTGGCAGGGGTCGTGGGGATCCCAGTGACGGAGCCTGTGCGCTGCGAGGCAGTGAGGAGATCCCACCTCTGCGCTGCTGTCATGGACCCCGCCGATGGGTGTGCCTCGTACATGATGGCCGCGAGCCCGGCCACGTGAGGACAGGCCATCGACGTACCATATTTAACAGACGTCTGGCTGTCACTGGAATGGTCCGTCGACCAGATGTACGAGCCTGGAGCCCACACGTCTACGCAAGAGCCGTAATTACTGAAGAACGACTTGGCCACTGCTTCAGTGTAAGATGCCACCGTGATCGCAGATGCGATGCGTGCTGGGTTGTAGTTGCACGCGTCAGCGTTCTGGTTCCCTGCCGCCACCACTACGGTAACGCCATCGTCCACCAACGCGTTGATCGATTCCTCCTCTGGTTCAAATGAGCCATGGGCCCCGAGACTCATGCTCACCACCGCCGGTCTCGCGCCAGAGGACAAGATCCACTGCTCCGCTAAAACTGACCAAGAGGAAAAGCCAGCACCAGTGTCATCGAGAACCTTCATCGCCCAGATGGTCGCTCCATCCGCGACGCCATATGTCGAGGCCCCAACCGTGCCGGCGCAGTGGGTACCGTGCCCATGGCCGTCAGCAGCGCACGTTGTGCTGCTTGGCGCGCACACTACCAAATCCCCGGTGCCAGCCACGTCCACTCCAGCGAAGGCCCGGCCGCTGAATAAGTTGTGGGTTGTGCGAATGCCGGTGTCCAGCACGTACACGTTCACTCCCACGCCGCGCCCCCGGATCACGTCTGCGTTTAGATCTTGGATGCCCCATGGGTAGCCAGTTTGCGGCTGTGAGGGACTGTCGGCTGAAACGATCGGGTCCCAGATCTTTTTCTCATACCGGTCCTCTTCGACGTACTGCACGAGTTCGGGATACTTGTCAAGCACCCTCTCGAGCTCATCTATTGTCAAGGCCCCTTCCACGAACGGCAACTCGCCCTTGCTTGGATGGCTGTGCTTCCCGTTGTGGAACTCCGTGCTGAGATTCTGCACCTCCTCCTCCGTGGCATTCCTCTCCAGCACGAGCGCCCACGTCTTGCGCTCATCGGCAGCTGCGGGGGCTCGCCCCCGCACCGCCGTCGCCCCGTCGACGGGTCCTCGGTGGGCCGCACGGACAGTCGGCGGAACCTCGCCCCTTTCGCCTCCGCGCTGCGCAGCCTGCAGGGCGAACGTGCCATCTACGAGCTTCCTGCCCCGCAGCCGGGGCTCGCCACGTGCACGCACCGCCCCGCACCCCGTCGGCAGGGCGGCGCAGGCTCCCAGGAGGAGGAGGCTCCTGGAAGAGCAGCAGGCAGACGGCAGAAACGGAGCCTCGCGGAGGCCTGCGCGGATTTGCCCCGGGGGGGCCGCCGCTGGCGCGCTCCCCGCGCCGAGGGAGTGGGGCCTCGACTCGAGAATCCCGCGCAGACCACCGAAAGTCTGCGTTCGCGCCCTCCGTCGCTCCTCGAACTCCAGCACCGGCGGGAGCCGCCCGAGGGCATGGATCCAAGTGTTGTTGGCTACGGTATCGGAGTCGAGTCCTGTGCGGAGACGTCAGCCCACCATTGTGTTCGAGCTCGTGCCAGAGCGCGCTCGGCAGCAGCGGGAGGCGTTGGGACGGCGGGCGCACGCGGACGGCGCCCAGAGTGGGCTCTCACACCTGGGAGGCGGCCGGGGGGTGTAAACCTCTTTGGGTCCAAGAAGATCGGCCAGCAAGATTTCTTGTTGTGCCGTCCTGCATCCATACTTGATGGCCCCAGGGGCCCGAAAACTGGCCCTTGGGGGCCGAACTCAAAGAGACACGCCCGGACTGAAGACAGCAAACTATCGGAGATCTAGGGAGGCGTCGACAAAAAAAACGCCCCCGAGTTGGAGGCGACAAGGGGGTTTGAAAAAAAAGGCCGGGGGATGAGGCCAGATCCGCTGAAAATCGGTCTCTTGACCCGTCGCGGGATCCAGATGGAGCAGTTTTTCGCCACGGATCCGTCTGTTACGGTCCTGGGGCCCGAAGACGGCCCCACAGGAGGAGAACGCAAGAACATCTCGCCAATCCCAGCACCTCAGACCCCCAGACGGCTCCAAAATTCACCCGTCGCCCACCTCGCCCCAAAGGACTTACCACTACATGCCAAAAATGGGACTCCGGCGCGCTCGCGCAACACCCAGAAGCCAGCATCGGGGATGGACAGACCCCCCTTTAGTAAAACGTGGTTTAGTGAAAATGACCTGAGGCCCAAACCTGGCGGGCGCAAGCCTGGAAAAGCACGGCGCCCTCTCGAGAGCCGAGAACGGACAATTCACTAATCGACGTGTCACTGTTGGGGGTTCTGTCCAGCCCCGACAGCAGTGGCGGACGTTTCCGTGCCCGCGCCCTCGCGTTCTGGATTTCGGAGGGCCGACGCCGCGGATATACGCGGTCGCACGGAGACGCTCCGCGCGGGGCACATCCGACAAAGAACGCACCGCATCCGCGGGGTCGCGGCCCGGGGGGCCTGGCCCGCGAGGCCGCGAATACGGATATCCCAGACCCCCGACGTCATGTTTTTTCCACGACGTTGACCCCAGAGATCTGGACCCCTTCCCCAGGACCAGTTTTCCATCCTGGGTCGTTTTTTGACGGTCCCGAGGACAGGTAAGGGCGCCCAGAAGTCAAATATCGCGAAAAACCTTCCGTCGTGATTTCTGTCATGACTCGAGCGGGTCTGGGATGGGGCGAGTTCGGAAACCCTGAACCCAAGAACGTCTTCACCTCTTGGGGGCGCAGCTTCTGCTCCCGCCGCCCTCTGCCGCCCCTCGGGCGCGGGGCGCCCTTGTCAAACTCAGGCATGCATGGCGGGCGCGGGGGGGGGGCCCAGGGGGGAGCTCTCAAAGCCATGGCTCGCCCTCCTGGGGCCCGCCGCCCCTGCGCCCAGGAGGCCGGTGGAACTCCACTTGAGGCTTGGCCACGGAGATCACCGCCGCCATCGTCAAGGAAGGAGCCCTCCAGGGTCTGCAGCCTCCTGCGCACATTCCTGGATCGACGCCACCACCGTAACGTCCTAAGCAGAAAACACGTGTTCGCAGGACGCAGGCCCGACGTGCCAAAGCAAGACCGAAAGGCCAGGAAGGTTCTGATAATACCTCGCGCAGGCCACAACATGTGCTCAGAACATTCTCTGATGGGCCAATAGGCAAGCCAGGACGCGTCGCCACTTCTCGACGCACGGGACCACGCCCAAACACCGGCTCGCCACTCGCGCGTCCTTCGGCAGTCCGAGATCGGACGCACAAGGACGCACTGGTACCGTGAGCCCTCCTTGGAGGCGCGCGGCCGAGTCGAACATATTTGCGACAACCAGGGTGTAGCATATCGTGTCACGAGCGGTAAGGTCAACACGCGCCCGTCAACGAGCAGATACTATGAGATTTCCAAGCGCGCGCGCACGTCGCCCCCAGGGTGCAAGCGCACACATTATATTGGTATGTTCCCCAATCAGCGCATGGACTGAAGGGGTCCTAGCGGATATTGAAAGATTTGGCGAAAATTGCCCGCAGATCTTGGTAGCCGGCTGGGCTCCTGGGTTCACTGTTCCGGGTTCCCGGGTTCCTGGTTCTTGGTTCCGGGCCGATTTCGGTGGGTTCCGGGTTCCCAGGTTCCTGGCCCATCTCCTTATCGATCTCTTTATCGATCCCACTTCAAGCCATCCACTGATTGGGGCGTTTCCCTGGTGTAACTTGCGTGATGCCGACGAGAAGGCCCCAGCACACGCCAGACACGTGGGATGGCCTCGTGCGCCCATGTTGAGCAGGGACCGACCGTCCCAGCATTCCTATAGTCCTACCACGAAATGCTCCTAGAACCCAAACGCGTTCCAAGAACAAAAACAATGTTCTTAACACATGGACCCGATGTGATACAACAAGACAGACTCCGCCAGAAATGTTCTAAGAAGATTTCGTGGAAACCACACTAGGTTCTTAGAACATTGTTTGGTAGAGCTATCGGCGAGCCAGGACGCGTCGCCACTGCTTGACCACGGTGGCCCGCCCCAAGATGGCAATCCGCCCTCGGCGGAAGCACACCCCACGGGCGCACATCGCGCACTTTGCCGCTCCAGAGGGGGTCCTCACCACGAGCCTTAGGTCGGGCATGTCCCCTTACAGGCGGCTCTTGGGCGAAAAATAAAAATAGCCGGAAGATGTGCAAGTGTACCCAAAAATAGCAAACCAGATCGGCCCCCGACTATGTTGTTGAGATGTTTGAACATCCCTCCTCTAGGGGACAGGCCCGACTTAAAAAGCCACAGGTTGGGAGCCATCACCACAACCCAGGAGCTGTCCCTCAGCGTGTCGCAGCGGCAGCCCCGGCGACAGGCTATGCCGAGCAAGCTGATAGCGTGCCACGTCGCTCCACGGCGGGGGAGGCCGGGGAAAGCGCGGGACGCTGATGCTCGGAGACTGGGGCGTACTCACCGTGTCGCGGCGAGGGGCTGTGGACCAGAACTGGCGGATCGACGCGCTGAGCAGGAGTCCCCAGGAGTCACATGTGGTGGCGGAGGTCTGGCCGTGTGTCAGCCTTCTGCGGCAACTGATGGGCGCCTCCCATAGCATCTTGCTGGCGCTTGCGAATCCACGCTCATCGCCACTCGTCGACGCTACATCGACGCCACACCCACGCGAATCGACGCGAACTCGGCGCTGTCGCCTCTACCGCATGCTACTCGACGCGAGCGTACTCTCAAGACGGAGTTTCGAAGGTGTACGGTCGGACCTAGGCCAGAAGAACATCCTTCAGGAACATGAGACCCTCCGCCCGCCACGCGCAAGCGGAGCATCCACAGGTGCCCTCCCCAGGGTGCACAAACACATCCAGCAAGCACGAAGAACAGCTATTAGGAACACCTTCCCCGAACCAACCTGGATCTTGAACAAGGCCCCCCTTATGCTCTGCCACCGAAACCGTCCACTCGCGACCCGCCGCTGCGCGGGAGCGCGCTAAGAATCGACCGAGGCCGAAAGGACGCGCTCCTCAGCCCCCTCCTCGAGCACGCACCGCGGCTGCCTCTCCCCCGCAGGGGTGCGGTGCGCGGAGGCCCAGAGGGGGGGGGGGGTCCAAGAGGGGGGTTGTCCAAGAGGGGAGGAGGAGGAGGAGGAGGAGGAGGAGGAGGAGGAGGAGGAGGAGGAGGAGGAGGAGGAGGAGGAGGAAGAGGAGGAGGAGGAGGAGGAGGAGGAGGAGAGGAGGGGGAGGAGGGGGAGGGGGAGAGGAGGGAGGGGGGGGGGCGCAAATCGAGGCCGGCGACATGCGCGGCACCTGGGGGAAATGGGGGGGGAGGCCAGGAGCGCGCTGAAATAAGGAGAGGCGCGAGGAGATCTGGGGAGACATCATGGCCCCCGTCATGATGGCCACTCCCCCCTCCCAAGGTCCTAGCCGCTAGCCATCACCCCCCTCCCTGAGATCCGACGCAGCGAAGAAACAGGCCGACAGAGCCCCGGACCCCATCTTGCTGCTGCACTGTTCGAGCCAGAGCGACACGTGAGGGTCCGTCCGGGGGCACGGAATGGAGCGGAAGCCCCCGCTGTGCAAGAGCTGCAGCGCCAAGATCGCCGGGCCTCTGCCGCCCTCGAGCCAGAGGGGGGGGCGGAGAGTTGAGCACGGACCGACCGCCCCGGCATTCCTACACCAGGCCCACCACGAAATGTTCTCAGAACCCAAAAAGGTCTTGATAACAAGAAGAAGGCTCTTAGAACATGAGCCCGATGTGGTAAAACAGCGCAGTCCCAGCCAGAAGCACTCCGAGAACATTTCGTGAAACCACACAGGGTTCCTAGAACATTGGTTTAGTAGGCCTGTAGGCACGCCAGGACGCTCCGCCACTGCTTGAGAGAAGGCAGGAGACGGCCACCGTGCCCGCACAGGGGCGCGCTGCCCACACGGAGCGCTGATGTGTCGACTGGGGGATCGACCACAAAATTGATTCACCCCAAAATGGACTTCCACGCCGACTCTTCAGAAAAAATACGTCAACCCCTCCCAGATCCGCGAAAGTCCTACGCACTGCCCGTGGACTCGGCAAGAAAAATCAATCCTGAGGCAAATCGATTCTGTAGCCGATGCTCGAAGGCCGGCGGGAGCGCCAGGAGGCCCTCGCGCCTCTCCCCCGCGGCGTGGCGGGCGAGGTCGCGCGCGCAGGCGCCCCCGGAGGAGGAGGAGGAGGAGGAGGAGGAGGAGGAGGAGGAGGAGGAGGAGGAGGAGGAGAAGAGAAGAGAAGAGGAGGAATGAGGAGGAGGAGGAGGAGGGAGGAAGAGGAGGAGGAGCAAGAGGAGAGGAGGAGGAGGAGGAGGAGGAGGAGGAGGAGGAGGAGGAGGAGGAGGAGGAGGAGGAGGAGGGAGGAGGGGGAGGGGGAGGAGGAGGAGAGGAGGAGGAGGCAAATCAATTCTGTAGCCGATCCCCTACTCGAGTGTGAGGAGCAGAGGTGCTGTCCCTGGCCGCGGCGAGCCCGGGGGGCACGACGGCGTGCGCCTGCGCCCCTGCCCGGCCAGAGGCCCGAGGACCGGACCCGACCGCCAGAGCCCCGTCCCCTGGGCTCTCGAGAGGCGCCCCCGGCCTCGCGCCCGAGCTGTCGGACGCGGGGGCGGGGGGGCCAGGAGGAGGAGGAGGAGGAGGAGGAGGAGGAGGAGGAGGAGAAGGAGGAGGAGGAAGGGGACGAGAAGGAGGAGGAAGGGGACGAGAAGGAGGAGGAGGAGGAGGAGGAGGAGG